GTTTATATCTCATCTCTGTTCTGGTTATTCATCTCTCTGGTTGAAACAGTTGCCTTTAGGAAAATGCCAGAATTTGCCTTTACATCCTTTGGCACCTACACACAGGTCTTTATGGTGGCCAGGGGAAGGTCTTGGTCCTTGTGAGGGGCCCCTATTCTCTATTTGTTACTTCCCTGCCTGTTTTACAAGTGTTCCCCAACCCAGCACTGCAGCCCCATTGATTCACCCCAACCTCGATCTTATTGTTACAAAGCCATCTGAAGTCTGTCCTCAAGTCTTTCAGCTCTTGGCTTGTGGGTCATCCTTGCAGACTATAGCTTTTCCATGGTCAGTAACAATGGTCAGCTCCACTATATCCCTCCACCAGGGCACATGGCAACTTCTGGACACTTTCCATAGAACCCCAGGGTAGACTTTTTGTGAATTAACTCTACCAACTCAAGCCATGCCACCAGTTTTACCCTGATGTGCTTGTTTCACATTTGCCTGGATAGCACACTGCAAGGTGGCCTCTACCCAGAGTCCAAGCTAGAATCAGGAAGCCAGGTCAAAGTCTCCTTTAAATCTACCTAAGAGAGGAGAATGGGCAGACATACTGCATCATCTGTATCCCTTAACCCTACCCCTACCCTTAACCCCTGGAGTGCAAGGAGTTGGCTTCCCTCTTTATCATCAGGTATGGACCCCTTGCATCCCTTTTTCCTTTCTCTACTCTTAACTTTATCTTTTCAAATTAAAATATTGGCTTTATATTTTCAAATTATTACCCCTGTTACAAATAGTATAAGATCACTCCAATTACAGTGTGGAACTTGAAGAGAATAGAAGGATACAAGGAGAGATACCATTTGAAAGTTGGATAATAGTTCTCCAGGAGAGAGGTCTTAGCAGCTTGCACTGGAGTTGTAGGGGAGTTGGAGAGAAGTGAACAGGTCTGACACTATTTTGGGTGCAAATCTAGCCAGCAATGTGTTTTTACAAGCCTTTATTGAGCACATGCTCTACACAAGGCCCTGGAAAGACACAAAGATGAAGGAAACATAATGCTTGCACTAAACGTGCCTACAAAAGACGAGGTAAGAAGAGACATAAGCAACTAACCTCTTACCACATTAGCTGTAGAATTATGTACTAGGGGAGATAAGTGGAATTACCAAGGGTGGATTCCTAGATTCAATAATAGTGGGTTTCAATGCTACCATAATTGTTGTATAACTTTAAGTAAGTTCCTTAGCCCCTCAGTGTCCACAAGTCAGAAAGAAAATGAGAAAAGAAAAGGAAAAGGCTGCTGATAGAGTTAACTACATAGGGTTGAGGGAGGACTCAATGAGATTATATATAAAGCACTTAGAAATATGCACTGGTGATCCCAGGCTCCTAAGGCAGTGAAGCTCAACCCATCCCAGCACCCAGAAGGAAGCTCCCTGCCTCCATCCCAGGCTCCTAGGGCAGAGAAGCTGACCCAGTCCCAGCACCCAGAAGGAAGCTCCCCCGCTGCCATCCCAAGCTCCTAGGGCAGAGAAGGTGAGCCGCATGGGTGCCAGAAGCACCCCCCCCATAGAAATGAGAAGACACATAAACAAGCCTCAAAAACAGACTTCCAGATCACCTATAGCAACCCCAAAGGGAAACAAGATGGAACACTCTGATACTCAACCACCTGGACTCTCTGAACTGGCAACAAAAGAGGATCTGGGAAAAAT